ACCCATAGGATACTTTTTATATTATTGAGTCCCCTGATTTCCTGTTGTGTTGGGTCTTCCCTGGCTCGCACGACACGACCCCACCTTTTCATGGCCGCAGAGGGTTCTCACGGGGGGGTAGCGAGAGTGACAGGGTAGGTGTCTATCTATTTCCGTTGGTGCAACCACGGTGGAAAGTCCAGACCATACCTCCACCGTGCGCATTCCCCCCGTATACCTTGACTTGGCGCAAGCGTAAAATAAAATAAACTAGAAAATCCTGCTGTCTGGTTTGCTTAATATAAGGAATTTGAAATGATTTATACTTTTACTTTATTTTTTATACTTAAGTATATTTTTGCAATTACATTTGGTTTTATACATAAGTATATTTAAAACCAAATACTTTTAGAATTTTACTCAAGTAGTATTTTACTGGATTACTTTTAATTTTACTTGAGTCATTTTCTATTAACATATCTTTACTTTTACTCAAGTATGAAAATTGGGCAGGCCTACTTTTTCCACCACTGCAAATGCTGGTGCACTTTTGGCAACAATCAAAAGGTATATCCTTTATCCAAAGTAGGTATTTATGGCTAATGCATTTAGAGTATTAAGTCTGTTTTTGTTGTTGTTGTTGCTCTATGGTTAATACAATTATTGTAATTTTTTTGCATTTCTATATTTTCTATTCTTTACATTTATTGATAGCATTTGCTATGTGTGTGAGTGTGTTGAGGATAAGGATGAGGTATCAAAGTAAAAAAAATGACAAACTGACGAAAATGCACACAAAGTGCAAAATAAAACCTGATACCTCCCCGCTGTTAACGGAGCAATGAACATGGGTGGTGGGAGGAATCTGGAGGCCGCCACCATGCCAACCGTGCCAGCCGTGCCAGTGGACTGGCTGGATGACATGAACCCAATGGATACAAACAAGCATGTGGCGAGTTTGCTTCTACAGTACCAGAGGAACGAGGAGGTACGTATTCCACACAGGCTCGTTAACGTTCTGAATTACTCATGGAAGGAGTACGTCAAACCATCTTGCCAGTTAGGTGTTGGCGGTGGGAGTGATGATGGCGGGAAACCTCGCAAATCGAAGGGCTGCATGAACTTCTGATGACACTCTTCGGCAAATGACGGGAAAGAGAAAGACTAAAACAAAACCTTTCAAATATTCCAGGCTGGAAAATGGGTCTGCGAGACACCCTCAAGAATCGAATCTACCAAGAGAGCATCAGTTTCCCATTTACACAAAGGTTAGTAAACCCTCAACATGAACTCATCACTCACTGCATTATCTGACCTTTTAAGACCTTAACACAAGGCCTATTTGGCTACCAGGGTGAGGGAGGGGCTAGTTTTACGTTTTTCAAGTTTCAATTAGTCATATGTAGGCTACAGGATACAGACGGTACACACTGTCCAATGAAATGCTTACTTGCATTTCGTTCGGGCTAGGTTGGTTTACAGGAGAGATTGCTAGCACTACAGGCCACAGGTGTGTCTATAAAGTGTTAATCAGTTAATCAGTGCCCTGTGACCAGGGACGGCCTGTTCAATAGGGCGATATGGGCGACGCACTGCCAAACGGGAAAAGGAAGGGATTTTTTTTCTAATCAATTATATCACGGCAACAGTAGTTATCAGTGTTCACGTCTGATCTGCCAGCCACTAAATGTCAAATCAGGCTAAAGTCGTGCTTCAAATGGCCCCGCCCGTTTTTGGGGCGATTTCAGTCAAGTTGAAAATCGCCCAGAAGTCTCTCATAGCCTGTCATGTAAAATCTATTTTTTTCAAATTTCAAAGCTTTCAATACATTCTCTATGGGTGTCTGTGGGCTTGCACTTACGCGCTTTCGTCATACGTGACGTAACCATGAACGTAACTAAGACAATAGCGGCTAGCAGCGTCTCTGTTGCGACCTGCAGTGTGGCGTTATTTTATGTTTTTAATTTGTAGACTTAGTTTACAAACATTCTGCCAACCATGGATTTCCAGTGGTTGGTTTTGGACAGATCTTGTTGATCGTGTACATACCCGCTACGAACGGACTAAATAATGAAAACGCTGCTGGCAGCGGAATCCCAATACAGCTGGGAGACTTGGCTGGATGACAGAGTCCCGGACAGAGAAGTGGAGCCGGCCGGCTTCACCCTGGTCAGAGCGGACCGCGATCCTGGTAAGAGAGCGACTCTGTACCCCGACATTGAACTGCTTTCTGTGTCATTGCGACCTTACTATCTGCCCCGTGAGTTCCCCCAATTGTTTGTTACCGTTGTGTACTGTTGATAATCACAAGTTTACTGGAGAACTGAGACCAAGTAGAGACTTTGGACAGGGTGGATATGGTATAATAAAGGCAGTTTATTCAGAGGTAAAGATATCTGGAATCGCGTGCACGGACTCGTTCGTCAAACTCTTAGGGAGAAGAGAGCCCCGAAAACATTGTGTGCAGACATTTTATACAATAAATGATGTAGGTTGAATCTAGTAGTTCTGATCTTCTGATTGGTCCTGATGAGTTGGGCGAGGTCCCCTCCACTGTTGCATTGGCTCTGAGTCGGGTTCTCTGTCTTCAAATGTTCAGCCTAAAGAGAGGGGATTTTTGTGTGTGTGTGTGTGTGTGTTTAACAGTGATGATGTGTGTGTGTGTGTGTTATCAGTGATGATGTGTGTGTGTGTGTGTGTGTGTGTGTGTGTGTGTGTCCTCAGAGCAAGAACTCGTGAGTTGGAAGAACTGAGAGACCTATGGCGTGGGTGTTGTCCTTGGCCACCTGCTGACAAGGCTGACAAGATAGGACTCTTTTGTCCATTGTTATAGGATAGGAACAGCATTGATTGAAAACAAACGCCCAACACAAAATGGGTCATGCACAAGATTTTAGTCAGACCAAGCTATAACATTATATATTTACTACGACAGTACATTCAACCAAAAGCTAATATAACAAAGGCATCAGAGATTATTTATAATCTGTCACAGAAACTGGAATCCATCTCCCCAGATCAGTCAATAAATGCTTCTGGTATTGACTTATATGCTGCCCCTGTCTTCATGTTGTTGCTGGACATATCTTTTTAAAAATGTGTGTAGGTCACCTAAATCATCAGAAAAATTGCCCCTCCTGAGAATTTTTTCAGGAGCCGCCACTGCCTGTGACTTTCTCTCTTCAATAATTCCGACACACACTCACCTGGGGTATTATGGTTATTACTCAGACAATGAATCAATGCTTAACTCAAAGGTCCCGGTTAGCCCTTTAAGTGATCATTTAGAAATACATGCATGGCCGGCGTTAGAAATACCATTTAGAATTCATGCAGGGCCTACTTTACCTCCTTGCATCTTAGGCCAGACAGCATCAGATACATGGGCTACATACTGTATAGCAGTGTTTCCCAACCCTGGTCCTCGAGTACCCCCAACAGTACTTTTTTTTTTATTGTAACCCTGGACAAGCACACCTGATTCAACTAATCACCAAGCCCTCAATGAGCTGAATGAGGTGTGTTTGTCCAGGGCTACAACGAAAATGTGTACTGTTGGGGGCACTCAAGGACCAGGGTTGGGAAACACTGCTGTATTGAAAGACAGAGGGGTGCGGTTTCGCTCGCTCTGATAATTTATCTGAGATTGATGCGTCTTTCTGTCGTTGTGCGCCTCGGTCAAATACATTATCAATATTTAAATATTTTTATGAAGTACGTTAGGGCGGGCCAGGTCCCATAAGGCTCACCCATAATGCCGGCCCTGCATATATTTCTAAATGGTCACTTAGCCCTAGCGAGATAGTTTCAGTCACTGGCGAAATGGACGAAAGTTGGCGGGTGCACAATGAACTGTTCGGAAGCTGGAATTATTTTTGGATGAACGTGCGAAGGTAACCTACTTTTTGAAGTGATTTGTATGACAATCAGATGAAAACATCATGACTGGTTGAGTTCATGTCCTATTAAAAGGTAATACATTTACAGTTAAATTACATGTTTTTACTATAAAACCCTTCTTTTTTTTTATTGTGCAGGCGCTTCTGTGAAAAAAACGTGCCCCCCTATGGAAATCAAATGCCCGTCCAACTGATTTGTTGTGGCGCCAGGCCCTGAATACATTATCTGTTTTTTGTATCTAAGATACCATTCCCATAAAGCTGTCGTGTTTTTGAATGATTTCCCTCCAGCTCATGCACACGTACGATACGTTTCTCCATCTCTTCAAAAACCTGTGAAGAACAAGGTATGACATTATCACACACCTTACACTATATTACTCCTACCCATCTCGCTCTACGCAGTCAATGTTCCTAGTATAGACCATTAGCAGTGCTGCCCTAGCTGTATCCGCTGTACCAACTGAGTCACAGCTGGAACCCAACCCCAAGGTCCCGGGTTCAATTCCTGCAGGGATCCCAAATGTATGCACTTACTGTACTGTAATTAACTTTGGATGAAAGCAATTTGCTAAGTGAAATATATGAATATATATTATAGCTGAGTGAGTGGTAGATGTACATGTATAGCACATGTAATGTACCCATGTTGTGCCCTTCAGCAAGCCACTTAACCTCACAACATGCTCTCTATCCAGGGGCGCTGCACTACAGCTTGACCTCTCAACTGTGTGTGTGTGATATCTACATTTCCGTTGTTTGCTGTAACGTGGACAATAAAGTTGTACTGTATTGTTTGTGCATGTTGTCCATGCAGGTTGGATTGTCCAGTCAAAGGAACCAACCTGTGAGGAGCCTCAGTGGACTAGCCTGTATCAGTGGGTGGTTGAGAGGCGACAGTTGGCTAGGATCCCCATGTATGGACTTATATTCTATTCTATTCAATTCTACTCTATTCTATCTATTTCTACACCTTTGCCTGCGACACAACATACCCACATTTCCCATAGTTGCTGTTTCAATTACTTTGAATGTGTCACTTTACATGTGTGTGACCTCTCACTTCACTCTGAGTCAGGTGGTGCTCTTTCTCATGAAGTTTGACTTCATTTAATACAGAAAATGGCAGACAACCAAGCAGAGAATGGCCTAAACAAACCACCCATCCTCCGCCACTATGGAGACATCAAATTAGGAGGAGAAGGAGGAGAAGGAAGGGGAGGAGGAGGAGGAGGAGGGGGAGGAGGAGCAGGAGGGATGGCCTGGCGTTCACTGTGGAATGGAATGCCTCAAATACCAGAGATGAACAAGGACCAGGAACCACCACAGCAGAAACTACCCTACAGGATCAACGATGGCTCCTCCTTCATATAAGATGCTTTCCCAACTAGGGCTGTGTTTCATTCCAGGATGTTTCCTAGCCACTGCCTTCATTCACTAACCTTCACAGATCTGACAGCACTGGGTATGTTAAACCAATATGACAGTTGTCTGAAGATCTGTGAAGACAATGAATCAGGGCAGTGGGGAGGGAACATCTTCCTGAAATTAAATGCAACCTTAATGTCTAAATCTCTGATATCTAAATCTAAATATGTTCACGTAGCCAGCTACCCGTCTGGTCATGTAGCAGTGTGCCAGAGCCACTCTGGTCTGCCCTGTGGAGGGTTCTATACCAAGGTGTTCAGTGGCCACCTCAGCCTTGTTATACTGGCCAGGATCACTGCAGTGGGAAGAGGCACCATCACACACCCACTCAGGTAACGACATGCTAAATGGTTAAAGACTTAACAGATTTTTCAAACTATAAAGTTTAAAAAAATAAAATGTCATTAAAGATACAGTAGGTTCACTAATAACAGCATACCGTAAACACTATATATACAAAAGTATGTGGACACCCCTTCAAATTAGTGGATAAGATTATTTCAGCAACACCTGTTGCTGATAGGTGTGTAAAATCGACCACACAGCTATGCCACCTTTTCAACAAGTTAAATCTCTGCCCTGCTAGAGCTGCCCCGGTCAACTGTAAGTGCTGTTATTATGAATTGGCAATGTCTAGAAGCATCAACGGCTCAGCTGTGAAGTGGTAGGCCACAGAAGCTCACAGAACGGGACCGCTGAGTGCTGAAGTGCGCAGCGCGTAAAAACCGTCTGTCCTCAGTTGCAACACTCACTACCGAGTTCCAAACTGCCTCTGGAAGCAACGTCAGCACAAGAGCTGTTCGTCAGGAGCTTCATGAAATGGGTTTCCATGGCCGAGCAGCCGCACACAAGCCTAAGATCACCATGTGCAATGCCAAGCATTGGCTGGAGTGGAGTAAAGTTCGCCGCCATTGGACTCTGGAGCAGTGGAAACGCGTTCTCTGGAGTGATGAATCACGCTTCACCATCTGGCAGTCTGACGGACGAATCTTGGTATGGTGGATGCCAGGAGAACGCTACCTGCCCGAATGCATAGTGCCAACTGTAAAGTTTGGTGGAGGAGGAATAATGGTCTGGGGCTGTTTTTCATGGTTCGGCTAGGCCCCTTCGTTCCAGTGAAGGGAAATCTTAACGCTACAGCATATAATTACATTCTAGACGATTCTGTGCTTCCAACTTTGTGGCAACAGTTTGGAGAAGGCCCTTTCTTGTTTCAGCATGACAATGTGAGGTCCATACAGAAATGGTTTGTCCAGATCGGTGTGGAAGAACTTGACTGGACTGCACAGTGCCCTGACCTCAACCCCATCGAACACCTTTGGGATGAATTGGAATGCCGACTGCGAGCCAGATCTAATCGCCCAACATCAGTGCCCGACCTCACTAATGCTCTTGTGGCTGACTGGAAGCAAGTCCCCGCAGCAATGTTCCAACATCTAGTGGAAAGCCTTCCCAGAAGAGTGGAGGCTGTTATAGCAGCAAAGGGGGGACCAACTCTATATTAATGCCCATGATTTTGGAATGAGATGTTCGACGACCAGGAGTCCATATACCTTTGGTCATGTATTGTATCTGGCTCGAAGGACCAGTTTGTAATAATGAATGAATAACGCTGAGCTACTCTCCCGGTTCAGGTAAGGTGGATCAGTGGATCACTAAAGTTTAGGGACAAAACATAGATAACTTGACAGGATCTTGAATGTCACCACAGCCTGATGTCAGTAGCCAGTAGGCATTGTATTGCTTATTGTGCCATTACTCGTGACAAAAAAATGCTGTGCCACTGAATGTCAAGGAACATAGAGTAAAGCAGAAATAAATGGAGCGTATTGTGACCTGCTATGACATCCCTACCTTTCTTTTTGTCCACAGTGGGACAGTTACTGCCATGTGGGATCAGAGTGGTGGGCTGATGTGTGAACAAGATGGAGCTGTCACTAAGGAATGGACCTGGCAGGCTGGAGTGAAGGAGAAGATGAGGAGCAGGGTTGGGGTCAATTTTAAAGTTCAGTCAATTCCGGAAGTAAACTGAAATTCCACAAATCTTTGTAAATGTGCTACTTTTTGTCCTGTAGTCTCTTTAATCTGACCTCACCTAACCTAAAGGTAACCATAACAGAGAGTAAACCATCAGCCCAGTATAGTTGACATCTAATCTCTGTAATCCTTGGCTCTATAAGGCCCTTCACTGACAAGCCCAGTCAAAAAGAGTAAGTTGCTGGGCAGCCCAGTCATATGAGAGTCTCTGGGAGATCTGAGTGTGTGTGTGTGTGTGTGTGTGTGTGTGTGTGTGTGTGTGTGTGTGTGTGTGTGTGGACCAGAGAAGGGGATTGGAACAAAGCAGGGGATGTGGGGCTTGACGGGTGACCCACCGGTCCCAACCCGATACTCTGCCTCTGACAAACCTATGATACTCCAATTACATAATGGCTGATGTAAGGCCCATTTCAGTTCTAAAGTGGGTTATTGTCTCTATTGTAATAATAACTTTTAATAGAGAAATGAAAATCATGAAGTATTTATTGAATATTTCATCAGCTATCACAATTGAGAGGTGAGGAGTGTCAGTTAGGAATCTACCTACTGGACACAGACGACAGTCCAACATCTAGAGATTTACATTTGATCCAGTTGTCAACTAACGTGAATTCAATGTAAAATCAACAAGAATTTGAACCATGTCATTGGATTTAGGTTAAAAGGTAGGTGAAAAATACAAACATTTAAGAAATGCCTTTACGTTGATTACGTTTCTCAAATCCAATCAGTTTTCCACGTTGATTAAACATCATCCCATTGAATGTTTTTGTTGAAATTATATGGAAACAACATTGATTCAACCAGTTTGTGTCCGGTGGGTACCTTGTGGTTTAATTATGGTTAAGCTAGGGTTAAACGAAGAGGCAGTCCCCACTTTTGAGTATTTTTACTATGTGTCTTGCCAGGTGTCGGATCAGATCTCAGTGCGGCTATTGAGTGGTACCTGTGCCATCCTCAGCTTTAGGAGTCAGAATGAGTGTCCAGCTGCCACCGTCTCCCCTGCCATCCAACATCACCCCAACTAAAGTTTGAGAACACAACACATCTGTTAGATATACAGTAGAGCTCTTTTTAAATGTAATGTGTTAAATATGTCTGTTGATCTGATTGGTGAATGGTTGAAGATGGCCAAAACTGATTGTTGAATCATGTGGGTTATGGTTGTGTCGTAGGCCTGTCTGCCAACGGAGGGGATGCTATTGACCTCTCTGGCTGCTCAGGCGCTCTCCCTGGTTAAGAAACACCAGAAGACTCAGAGGCCCCAGGGTCAGATTGGAGATTGCAAGAAGGCACTCAAATTTGTAGGAGACTTTAACAATTAAAAGGGGGAAAAAATAGTTATTTCAGGTAAAGAAATTCACCCAATGTGAATCCTTCTGTGTAAGGTATCAGTGCGTTCCAGTGAGGTCCTACAGATGGCCCGGGAGGTGGAGAAGCTGGAAGAACCATGTCTGCTGCTGCTACTCGCTGTTTATTCTCAATTATCTATGCAGTCACTTTACCCCTACCTACATGTGCACTACCAGTCAAAAGTTTGGACATACCTACTCATTCAAGGGTTTTTCTTTATTTTTACTATTTTTTACATTGTAGAATAGTAGTGAAGACATCAAAACTATGAAATAACACATATGGAATCATGTAGTAAACAAAAAAGGGTTAAACAAATCAATAGCCACCCTTTACCTTGATGACAGCTTTACACACTCTTGGCATTCTCTCAACCAGCTTCACCTGGAATGCTTTTCCAACAGTCTTGAAGGAGTTCCCACATATGCTGAGCACTTGTTGGCTGCTTTTCCTTCACTCTGCGGTCAGACTCATGCCAAACCATCTCAATTGGGTTGAGGTCAGGGGATTGTGGAAGCCAGGTCATCTGCTGCAGCACTCCATCACGCTCCTACTTGGTAAAATAGCCCTTACACAGCCTGGAGGTGTGTTGGGTCATTGTCCTGTTGAAAAACAAATGATAGTCCCACTAAGCCCAAACCAGATGGGATGGCGTATCGCTGTAGAATGCTGTGGTAGCCATGCTGGTTAAGTGTGCCTTGAATTCTAAATAAATCATAGACAGTGTCACCAGCAAAGCACCCCTGACCATAACACCTCCTCCTCCATGCTTTATGGTGGGAAATACACATGCGGAGATCATCCGTTCACCCACACCGCGTCTCACAAAGACACGGCGGTTGGAAGCCAAAATCTCAAATTTGGACTCCAAACCAAAGGACACATTTCAACCAGTCTAATGTCCATTGCGCATGTTTCTTGGCCCAAGCAGGTCTCTTCTTCTTATTGGTGTCCTTTAGTAGTGGTTTCTTTGCAGCAATTCGACCATGAAGGCCTGATTCACACAGTCTCCTCTGAACAGTTGATGTTGAGATGTGTCTGTTACTTGAACTCTGTGAAGCATTTATTTGGGCTGCAATTTCTGAGGCTGGTAACTCTAATGAACTTATCCTCTGCAGCAGAGTTAACTCGGGGTCTTCCATTCCTGTGGCGGTCCTCATGAGAGCCAGTTTCATCATAGCGCTTGATGGTTTTTGCGACTGCACTTGAAGAAACTTTCAAAGTTCTTGAAATGTTCCGTATTGACTGACCTTCATGTCTTAAAGTAATGATGGACTGTCGTTTCTCTTTGCTTATTTGAGCTGTCGTCTTTTTCTTAAAACTGCATTGTTGGTTAAGGGCTTGTAAGTAAGCATTTCACTGTTGTATTCGGCGCATGTGACAAATAAAAGTTGATTTGATTTGAGTCTTCAGAGGAGAGTATGCAATATCCTGGATGACTGGTTGGAGTTCTACCGAATTGCCACATAACAAGGGTTTAGTTACATTTGTTAAATAAAGACATTCTCTTTTACAATAACAGGTCAGAGAGGGTCAAGAGCTCTCTCACATGGTCCACTGCTTTTCTAAATCCTATATACTTACTTATATACTGCAGCAAGTCCTAGTGGACTGATATGGATTAGTACCAACTGAAGAGTTTCTAAAGTAAACCCAGAAAACATTCACACCCCTGCGCCAGACCCCTCCTGTCATTTCAAACTCCCTCACTGCCCAATGAGAGAGGAGGAACAAGAACAGGACCATGCCTCTCTCTCACTTGATAGGTTGATTTACCTACATTTACAATAAAATATATACATATAATTCCACTCTGTTGAGATTACCTGGCACTGACTTGCATGTGCGAATACATTCATTAGAGTTAACTGCACCTCAGATTGCAGCCCAAATAAACTCAGCAAAAAAGGAAATGTCCCTTTTTCTGGACCCTGTCTTTCAAAGATAATTCGGAAAAAATCCGAATAACTTCACTGTAAAATGTTGAAACACTGTTTCCCATGCTTGTTCAATGAAATAAACAATTAATGAACATGCACCTGTGGAACAGTCGTTAAGACACTAACAGCTTACAGACGGTAGGCAATTAAGGTCACAGTTATGAAAACTTAGGACACTAAAGAGGCCTTTCTACTGACTCTGAAAAACACCAAAAGAAAGATGCCCAGGGTCCCTGCTCATCTGCGTGAACGTGCCTTAGGCATGCTGCAAGAAGTCATGAGGACTGCAGATGTGGCCAGGGCAATAAATTGCAATGTCCGTACTGTGAGACGCCTAAGACAGCGCTACAGGGAGGCAGGATGGACAGCTGATCATCCTCGCAGTGGCAGACCACGTGTAACAACACCTGCACAGGATCGGTACATCCGAACATCACACCTGCGGGACAGGTACAGGATGGCAACTACAACTGCCCGAGTTACACCAGGAACGCACAATCCCTCCATCAGTGCTCAGACTGTCCGCAATAGGCTGAGAGAGGCTGGACTGAGGGCTTGTAGGCCTGTTGTAAGGTAGGTCCTCACTAGACATCACCGGCAACAACATCGCCTATGGGCACAAACCCACCGTCGCTGGTCCAAAAAGTGCTATTCACTGACGAGTCGCGGTTTTGTTTCACCAGGGGTGATGGTCGGATTAGCATTTATCGTCAAAGGAATGAGCATTACACCGAGGCCTGTACTCTGGAGTGGGATCGATTTGGAGGTAGAGGGTCCGTCATGGTCTGGGGCGGTGTGTCACAGCATCATCGGACTGAGCTTGTTGTCATTGCAGGCAATCTCAACGCTGTGCGTTACAGGGAAGACATCCTCCTCCCTCATGTGGTACCCTTCCTGCAGGCTCATCCTGACATGACCCTCCAGCATGACAATGCCACCAGCCATACTACTCGTTCTGTGCGTGATTTCCTGCAAGATAGGAATGTCAGTGTTCTGCCATGTCCAGCGAAGAGCCCGGATCTCAATCCCATTGAGCACGTCTGGGACCTGTTGGATCGGAGGGTGAGGGCTAGGGCCATTCCCCCCAGAAATGTCTGGGAACTTGCAGGTGCCTTGGTGGAAGAGTGGGGTAACATCTCACAGCAAGAACTGGCAAATCTGGTGCAGTCCATGAGGAGGAGATGCACTGCAGTACTTAATGCAGCTGGTGGCCACACCAGATACTGACTGTTACTTTTGATTTTGACCCCCCTTTTGTTCAGGGACACAGTATTCAATTTCTGTTAGTCACACGTCTGTTGAACTTGTTCAGTTTATGTCTCAGTTGTGGAATCTTGTTATATTCATACAAATAATTACACATGTTAAGGTTTGCTGAAAATAAATGCAGTTGATAGTGAGAGGACGTTTCTTTTTTTGCTGAGTTTTAAATGCTTCACAGAGTTCAAGTAACAGACACATTTTTTATTTATTTTTATTTCACCTTTATTTAACCAGGTAAGCCAGTTGAGAACAAGTTCTCATTTACAACTGTGACCTGGCCAAGATAAAGCAAAGCAGTGCGATAAAAAAAACAAAAAACACAGAGTTACATATGGGGTAAACAAAACATCAAGTCAAAAATACAAACAGAACATATATATACAGTGTGTGCGAATGTAGTAAGTTATGGAGGTAAGGCAATAAATAGGCCATAGTGCAAAATGGTTACAATTTCGTATTAACACTGGAATGATAGATGTGCAAAAGATTATGTGCAAATAGAGAGACTGGGGTGCAAATTAGCAAAATAAATAACAATAAGGGGATGAGGTAGTTGGTGGGCTAATTTCAGATGGGCTATGTACAGGTGCAGTGATCGGTATGCTGCTCTGACAACTGACGCTTAAAGTTAGTGAGGGAGATAAGAGTCTCCAGCTTCAGAGATTTTTGCAGTTCGTTCCAGTCATTGGCAGCAGATAACTGGAAGGAATGGCGGCCAAAGGAGGTGTTGGCTTTGGGGATGACCAGTGAGATATACCTGCTGGAGCGCAGACTACTGGTGGGTGTTGCTATGGTGACCAGTGAGCTAAGATAAGATGGGGATTTGCTTAGCAGTGATTTATAGATGACCTGGAGCCGGTGGGTTTGGCGACAAGTATGTAGTGAGGGCCAGCTAACAAGAGCGTACAGGTCACAATGGTGGGTAGTATATGGGGCTTTGGTGACAAAACGGATGGCACTGTGATAGACTACATCCAATTTGCTGAGTAGAGTGTTGGAGGCTAATTTGTAAATGACATCGCCGAAGTCAAGGATCGGTAGGATAGTCAGTTTTACGAGGGCATGTTTGGCAGCATGAGTGAAGGAGGCTTTGTTGCGAAATAGGAAGCCAATTCTAGATCTAACTTTTGATTGGAGATGCTTAATGTGAGTCTGGAAGGAGAGTTTACAGTCTAACCAGACTCCTAGGTATTTGTAGTTGTCCACATACTCTAGGTCAGACCCGCCGAGAGTAGTGATTCTAGTCGGGTTGGCGGGTGCAAGCAGCGTTCGGTTGAAGAGCATGCATTTAGTTTTACTAGTGTTTAAGAGCAGTTGGAGGCTACGGAAGGAGTGTTGTATGGCATTGAAGCTCGTTTGGAGGTTTGTTAACACAGTGTCCAATGAAGGGCCAGATGTTAACAAAATGGTGTCGTCCGCATAAAGGTGGATCCGAGCGTCACCAGCAGCAAGAGCGACATCATTGATATACA